ACACAAATTGCATATATAAATATATGAATATATATGAATAGTTTATTAATATTTATAGATTATTGTTATTGCTACTATTATTTATTATAATGAACTTAATTTTTTAAGTTCGACTGAAATTATTTAGTATTTATAAAATATAATATCGTAATAACTTTATAAAATTTCATTTTTCATTTTAATATTGCAGTTAGTTTACCTGTCACACAATTATTTAACCGATATACCACAAGATATTTTTAAGCCCGTACAAGGATTACGTGTAATCGACTTATCCCATAATCACTTACGTGGTCTACCTGATAATTTATTCTATAATGGTGGCATGGAAAAGTAAATAAATAAACTAATTTAGAATTTATTTCAAAATGGAATATAATCTTTAATTATATCAACAGAATGGACGTTTCGCATAATATGCTGTTGAAGATACCATCATCATCTCTATCCAGTTTGGCAGCGCTTACCTTATGTGAATTGCATTTATCAAACAATTTCATCTCAACTATACACAGCATGGATTTATCTAATAAGTTCAGAGTAAGTTCTTTTAAATAATTTACATATTAAAGAGATAATATTCTGAATATATTATATTATTTTTAGTCCCTACGCTATTTGGATATATCCTACAACTATTTGTTACGTATTGATGATGCCGTTTTTGCTACCATGCCCAAATTAGCAGTGCTCGATCTTTCACATAATCGAGATCTTAAAGTAATGGATAAATCTTTTATGGGCTTAGAAAATTCTTTGATAAAATTAGGTTTGGAAAATGTTTCATTAAGTACAGTACCTGAAATACGTTTAAAATATTTGCGTGAATTCCGGTTGGGATATAATGAACTTCCTTCGATACCACAAGAACTTGCACATAATATGAGTAACTTACGTATGTTGGATCTATCGAATAACGATTTAACAAATGTGCCACTTATGACGCAATCACTACCACATTTAAGGTAGGATAATATAAAAAATTTGATGGTTTTTCATATTTAAAGTTATATAATAATATATTTGAAAATCCAAATTAAATTAAGTTCCTATGAGAAAAATATAGTAGAATGTATGTTCTAAAGATGTTGTTAGAGTACGCAAGATTTACTTTAGCACAGATTCACGCTTTTATTGTATTTTATATTGAACTATTATTTCCTGTACTTTTCTGAGTGATACTGTTCATCATATTTTCATTTTTAAATTCACACTCATACATACATATGATTCTAATATATATATGAAGATATAATTAGAAGAAATTATATAATTAGGAGAAAGGTTCTCGTAAGTCTCTTATAATTGTCTTATTTTTTTAATAAACTATTGACATCTAGCACTCCTAACAAGACTATAATGAGTGACTTATTCGCATTCTATATTTAACGTAAAATAACAAATTTATAAATAGTAAACTAGGGACAGATACTTTAAATGCAAAGCATAGATCTTTTGTACCAAAAACCACTGAGATTTAGACAAAGACTAATATAATGTAATGTGAATATCAGGTTAATAAAGTGTTGCAACTGGTAAAAATATTTTATCACCCTCTAGTAGCATAGTTTTTTTCTTTGAAATCTTATTCAGTTCCAGAGATAAATTGAAATCGACGGGACTTTGCGTTGCTAATTTTTTACCTGGTATAAGATACGACCCTAGATGGTTTTATCTTTTATGTATGATTCTATCACATTTTCCTTGGATGTGCTCTGGAGACATGGTCATTATCACAGAATCTAGTACATATGATTTAATGTAAGATGTTTAATGCTCAGATGTCTATTGAGTCTATATAGTAATGAGGCCATAGCTCGCTCATTACTCTTAATGTGTTCTTGGTTAAGCTTAAGATATATCTAATAATAATTTAGAATGTTTTAAACCTTGAAGATCTGTCTTCTTCTACTTTCTCCTTCTTTTGTTTTTTGTACATTAGAACTCCATACCTTACTCTTTTACATATACTGCAATATGATTTAGACCATATCATTACCATAGATGCTCCTTTTCTGACGTTTTATCAGCTTGTTCATTTCTCTAAAATCCTTCATGTGTAGGCACAGTCATGTGACTATCTTTATTGCCACTGGTTAATATAGTAGTGGGTCTAGATTAAGTTGGACTCAGCTCCGTACAAGCTAACCATTCAAAAGACAGAAATATAGCAAATTTTTAATAATAATTTTGATAAATATACACGTCTGATAAAATTAACTATTAATTTTGAATTTATAATTGCTGAACAACACAGAAAATTGATGCTCTCCGGTAATCCCATAACATCACTTAACAATAATAGTTTTGATGGTGTAAATGAAGATTTAGAAATGTTGGATATATCTAATTTCCGTCTACATTACTTTGAATATGGATGTCTTGATTCGTTGCCACATTTACGTTCACTTAAATTAACCGCATATTCACACTTGGAGCACTTTAATATACCACAACTATTGCGTCATCATTACAACATAAGACAGTTATGGATCGAAGCACCACAACCATTCACACGAATTATCAAGAAGGGCTCTGGAAACACACAAGAAATGCAAAGCGTACAAATGGGCATGCCTACCGATTTAACCAGAGAAATGGAAGGTCACTTGCCATCAAAGTTAACTAATATCACATTTAGTGGACCACAATTCAGTAGTCTCAATGAACGTATATTGAAGGTATAAGTATTAATGAACGTTTTTAAATTAGCCGTGAAACAATAATAATGTTATCTATGCAATACAGGGCATGCGTTCACCATATTTATATATGCAATTATTTAATACATCCTTGCAAGCTTTGCCTAATAATTTCTTCAAGAATTTGGGACGTGTGCGTAATATTTCATTGGATATCCGTTATAATAATCGTATGCTGAAGAAAATACCAAATCCCAATACTGGACGTGTACCATATTTACCAAATAGTGTTTTCCTAACAGATCTGAAAATGTCAAATACCGATTTAAATTGTGATTGTGACTTAGGGTGGGTGAATCTGGTTTGATTTAGTTTTACAAATTTCAATTATTTATTATTTCAGTTGGGTCGAATTCTGGCAGCGTAAACGTCGTCAATACATATGCTCATCTCAAACTTGGACCGATACTGTATTTAGAACATTTATGAATTCACCATGCCAGGTTTATGGGCGTCATAATTGTGATGATCATGATGATGACTTACGTGAAACACGTTGTGATAATAAAGGTGGTTTACAATTATTGGAGGTAGGGTGTTATAAATGTTCAACTGTATTTTAATTATAATACTAAATTATTCTAAATGAATATGTTATCATTTGTTTTAGGCTCTGAAAGCTGATTTAGAATGCGGATGGGATAACGCAAGCTGCAAGGACTCCGTTCTTGTCTTAATAGCTGCTTGTATTATATTAATATTTTGGATGTGACTGTTACGGTTTGCCTACAAAACATCTGCCAAATTCTATGATATTTTGGAGAAGGTCTATGGCGAGACTGTTGTTTGAGTAAAGCGAAACAAAGTAGTTTGCAGATTTTCATATAATAAGCGTTTATTACAAATAACAACATTAATTTTTAAGAAAATTTTCAATTTAATATGAAGTAAATAAAACGATCTTTGCTTAAAATTATTTATTTATTTATATTTATACATTTCTTTATGTATATTAATTTATTAAGTTTAGTTTTTTTTAGTTATTATTTTTTATAAATTATTTGTTGTATTATATTAAATTTTTATTTAAATTATTAATTGTTTTTTAACTAATTATAGAAATGATCTTTTATGCACTTAAATAATTGGCTTTATATACTTATTATGTATAAATTATACTGCACTATATTAAATTATTTACAAATTGCACTGAAACCACTTCTTATTGCTTATTATACATACAAATCCTATATGCTATATGTTCTACTATAAATCTACTATAAATATTATTTAAATTATCTATATATAAGTTTTTTTATTCCTTATCTATCTGTAAATAAATTTAATTTGTTACTGCTTTTTCTATTCCATAAATATTATATCTTTAATTGTTAAATTATTTTGCACTACATATTATTAAGAAGTTATAATAAGTACATTCTTTTAGTATGATATAAATATATTTATCTATATTGTCTAATTTATCTGCTTGCTAATAAACTCTGTGTAGTTTATATATAATTAAAATTTTTCTTAAGAAAATTATGCTTTGCGATTATGCTTATAAGATCGCTGAGACTATTTGGTAGCGATCTCAAAATTTGTCTTATAAATATTGTTTAAATACCACTTTTTTATATGTTAGAAGGTTTATACATAAACCTATTTAATTAAAGCTTTGTTAATAATATAACAAACAATACTTTTGTCTGTGGTAGCTAAATGGAGGTCTTCTCTAAGTGTATCTGTTTTAATACATATTCATTAGTTACGTATATATAACTGATTGACCGAGAAGGGCTGTAAATAATTCCTATAGAGTTCTTATCTATGCTAAATCACTTGCCTAAAATAATGTAATGAAGAACATTGCGATGACAAATTCTTTACACCAATTATAAAAAAACTCATAGGTTCGTTTAAAATATCTACTTTAAATTAACAAAATTTAATTTAAAATTAATTTAATTAATATTATAATATACT